AACAAACTGTAAAAACTCTTACTTAATGCCCAAGAAATGAATAAAAGTAGCTATAACATTGATCAGAAATTGGAATATATAAAAGTAGCAATAATTAAAACAGCAAATAAAAACTTAAAACCAAAGAAAAGAAAACATAAAGTCTGGATGACTGAAAAAAAACTACTATTAATGATACTGATCGATTAATTAAAAAGAGAATAAAAAGCTACGGAGAGAATGTTACATAAGCAGTGTCAAGAACTAGAAGAAATTGAAAAAAAGGGGACTTTTTAGCATGCATAAAAGAATTAGAGAACTAACAGGAATGAGAAAAACACTTCAAACTAGGCAACCAAAAGATGAAAGTGGTACACTTATAACAGATATAAACCAAAAAATGCAGAAATGGGCAGAATATATAGCACAACTTTTTGAAGACAAAGAGAGAACAGAAGCACCAAAAGAATTTAAGGATGATACTGGGCCTGCCATTGTACGAGAAGAAATTGAATATGCAATGTAACAAGTTAAAGGTGGTAAATCTCCCATGATTGTGGGAGATGAAGTTCCTATCAGAGTACTCAAAATTGTGAATACTAAATCTATTGATCTTCTTTTGGATCTATTCCATACCATATATACCAGGTATAATACCTAAAGAATGGCTCCAATCAACATTCATACTGCTTCCCAAAAAAGCCAATGCAAAGGAGTGCAATGAACATCGCACCATAGCCTTAATGAGTCATGTCTTGAAATTGATTTTAAAAGTAATTCACAATATAATACATAAAAAATAAGATAAAGGCATAAGTAATACACAAGTGGGATTTAGGAAAGGACTGGGTACACGAGATGCACTGTTTGCAGTAAGTGTTCTTTCGCAAAGATGCTTAGATATAAATCAGGAAGTATATGCCTGTTTCATTGATTTTGAGAAGGCATTTGACTGAGTGCAGCATAATCGGCTTAAAGAAATTTTATTAAATAAAATCATAGACAGTAGAGATATTAGAATCATATGTAATCTCTATTGTAACCAAACAGCAAAAGTAAAAGTTGAAACTGAACTGACCGAGGATATCCAGATTCGCCGTGGGGTCCGCCAAGGCTGTATTTTATCACCCTTATTATTCAATTTATACAGTAAAGCCATGTCATAATTAGCGCTTGTCGAGGTCAATGAGGGCCTTATAATAAACGTTGAACCACTTAATAACATCGCTGATGCTGACGACACCGTCTTTCGGGCAGAACACTAGAAGAACTGCAACACCTTGCTGAACAACTAAATATAATTTGCAACGATTATGGACTAAAGATAAATTTGAAAAAAACCAAGTTCATAGTATTAAAAAAGCATAAAACATCAAAGTTAATCTAGTACTAGATAATACAGAAATTGAACAAATATCTTCGTACAAATACCTTGGAGCATGGATCACAGAAGATACTGATCAGACAAAAGAAATAAGATGCCGCATTGAAATTGCACGGTCAACTTTTAATAGAATGAGAAAACTTTTTGTAATCGCGATATCAATATATCGGATAAGAATGCTTCGATGTTATATTTTCTCTACACTTTTGTATGGGGTTGAAAGTTGGACACCTATAAAATGCAACATTAAAAACCTAGAAGCATTTGAAATGTGGTGTTACCGACGTATTTTGAAAATATCATGGATGGACTGCAAAACAAACGAACAAGTTCTCGAACAACTAGGAAAACAATGTGAAGTTTTAAATTTCATAAAAATCAGAAAATTGGAATACTTGGGGCACATCATGAGAGGTGAAAAACACGAATTGCTAAGGGATTTAATGCAGAGTAAAATCAAAGGCAGAAGAAGCATAGAAAGATGTAGAATCTCGTGGCTACGCAATCTCCGTGAATGGTTTGGATGCAGTTCAATTGAACTATTCAGGCGCGTAACCAACAAAATTATAATTGCCAGAATGATTTCCAATCTCCGATAGGAGCGGAATTTGAAGCAGAAGAAGCCTTATTCCTTGACAATACTTTTATAATAGCTAAATCTGTTGCTAAACAGGTAAATTTTTATTGTGTACCGGCTGTACGAATCAAACTATGTTCAATGCGGCATCTTATTTCTTTTGTCTGATCAGTATCTTCTGTGATTCATTTCACCCTGGGGAATATTCTAGCATTTGAAGAATACTGAAATTAGATCGTTACTATAGCCTCATGTTTTTTCAACATTTTGTTTTTTGATTTATTCGCTTATGTTGGATAATACAAAAGTTAGGTGTTTTATCAACTAGACATGTTTTTATCAATTTTTATCTCCGCGGAAGAGAAAAAATAATCTCTTTGAAAAAAAAGTCATTTGTTACAGTAAAAATCCAATGAATAAAATCTTCAAAGAAAATTCAAATTAACAATATTTTGGAAATCAAAGTCTAACTGAAAAACAATTGGGTATTAATAATGGGTGTTGCCGCCTTTAGCCCTTAGGACTTCTTGGAGCCGGTTTGGCAATCCTTTCATGATATCGTGATTTGGGAATATTGTGCCACATTGTCATGCATTAGTCTGAAGTTATCACCAATGAATGGTGCAAAAGACATGACATGGTCTTTTGAAAACTTCTTGCACGTATACTTGGGCATTCACAGTGCCTCTACCGAATACAACAAGATTATTACGCGCTTCGTAAGAAATACCTCCCCAAATCATTATTGCCCCTTCTTTGCAAGCCACTGTTTCGGCTACAGCGCATCCAGCAAACCCTTCGTTTTGACGTCTATAGACACGTTGGCGTCCATCTGGACCTTTTTGTGCTATTCTGCTCTCATCTGAGAACAGCATATTCTTCCATTCCACCATAGTCCAGTTAACATATTCTCGGGCAAAGTGAAGTCTAGCCCTACGGTGTTCTGGGAGCAGTTGTGGTGCGCGAGCTGGACGAAAAGCCCTTAAGTTTATTTCTCACAATCTTCTTCTAATCGTTTGTCTACTTACACTAACATTTCTCACCTCAAGAAGAGACCTACATGCTTCAGGAGCGGTGCAAAAGCGATTTCTCAATACTTTAGGGACAATGAAGCGGTCATCTCGAACTGAAGTGAATCGTTTTAGGCTTTGATCTGGCCAGCGGTTGTACGATCCTGTCTCCTGAAATCGTCTGATGGCATCTTGTACCGTAGTTTTGAGTACATCGAGTATACCATCGATATGACGTTGACCATCAACCACCAACTAGCATCAACTAAAGCCACTGTCCTAGCAGCATCAGTCGGAACGAGTGGCATTTTTAAAATCACAAACAATAAATAAGTACTAAAATTTCAACTTAAACAATATTTACTTACAATGATATAAAATTACAATTTCAATTGTTAATTTTAATTACAAATTGTTCAAGAATTGTTATTAATACGAAACAGATTTGTAACAATGTCGTAAAGTGACTATATGTCAAAAATTCTTCGATGACACAAATTTAGAAAACAAACTGTCACAGGTAATGTAAACAAAACATAAAGGTGGTGGTGGGGTTAATTTTGTTGGTGAGTTAAATCGCTTGTATTGACGAAAAACATGGCTAGTTGTTAAACCACCTAACTTTTGTATTATCCAACATAAGAGAATGAATATAAAAACAAAATTTTGAGAAAACATGAGGCTATAGGTGGGTTTACATGAGGTTTTAATTTCAGTATTTTATAAATGCTAGAATATTGCACAGGGTGATGCAAACTTTAAGAAAAAAACACAGTTTAATTCGTACAACCGGTATACAATGAAAATTTTCCTGTTTAGCAACCACATTACTATAACGATAGTGTCAAGGAATAAGGCTATAACATATAAAAAAAAATCACTTAAATCGGACATGTTTAAAAGATATAAGACATCAAAAATTGCCAATTTTTATTGGACGTATTGATAATAAAGGGCATGGTCGATTTAAAGAAGTGCTAGTTGGTTAGCTAGTTCTTGGTCAATAATATTTCCTACGGAGTCATAGCGTTCTTTATAACCAGTACCAACCTGGCAGCCCCCGTAAGATATTGTATGGTTTATTTATTGGACTTTACATCCATATAGGTATTTGTCGTTTTGGACCTGAAGGTCTTTGACAATATATTTCAGTTGATATAACCTGATCCTGAATAGGGCGTAGGAAATTCTCTGTCTCAAGAAACACCTTTTAAGATGTCAACCAATAGTTCCACGCTATATTGGCGACATATTCTTGACTGAGCACATTGAGATGTCAACCATTCGAAGGTTTACTCATCCAGGTGCTCATTTTTTCTTGCTTATACAGGTGGTTTATGCGTATTTATTGTTCCCTCAGTTTAAGGGGCGTTGTGTCTCATTGGGCACTTTATTGCGCAAATTGCCCAATGGAAAGTAGATGTATCAGCCTGCGTCTAAAAATAGTTTCTCAGATTAGCAACCTGTTTACTCAGTTGCTCATATATGCTCTTCCTCCTAAATACTGCGACAAGGTTATTTCATCTACTGCACTGCGTGGATGAGGTTTTATGCCTTTTTGAAAAGTTTTCTTCTCTAAGCGCTGAACATTACCTCGATGTTTTAACTATCTTGTATATCGAATCGTTTCTTCTGACTATATTTAAAACGTGGTACTTTGTCTAGTCCAAAGTGTACATTGATATCATTTGAGAAAGTTGGTACAGTTTTTAGCATCTGATCTAGGTGTTTCCGAGTGGAAGCCATTAACCCTGCGTTGGTCGCATTTTACTTTTTTCTTAATATTTTTCACATTTTTACTCACATTGGCAACTGCGCTCATGTAATCCTTCCTACTACTATTGTGTATAGAATGTTTTACGCAGAACTATGATCGAGCAACCGTCAGTCTATTCCAAGTATTGATTAAACGCAGATGTCGAGAAATAAGCGATTAGCTCACCTGCGACTAACGACGTGACGATTTTGGAAAGCTACAGAGCAATTTTTGTTGGATTTTTTTTATTGACTTTGTGTTTTAAATCATATAACTTTAAAATATTATTGTGTAATGGATCCTAAAGAAGAGGCCATACTGTTAAAAATATATGAAGAATTGGAGCAAGAGGATTTGTTACTTGAACAGACGCAAGAGAAAAATTTGGACGATGAAGAAAGCGACATAGATTCAGTAGAAGTCAGTTCTAATCATGAGACAGACTCAGGGTTTTCGGCCGATGATACGACAAATACTATTTCAACGTTTTGTTTTGAAGATGGTCCCAAATATATCAGCAGAGACAAAAAAAACCATTTGGAAAGTTCACCGTGAGCGAAAAACTAGCCGTATTCGACAGCACAATATTATTAACAAACTACCGGGAGTGAAACATGCGGCAAAGGATGCTAAAACTCCATATCAAAGTTGGAACCTGTTCATAACAGATGATATTATTGAAGAAATTGTGACGTGCACAAATTTGTACCTATTCTGTATTTCAAGTTAAGAAAATAACATTACGCTTATGGAGATCAGTGTTGAGAAAACTCTCAGACACTCTCTTTTGCACGGATGTCCAAGATATTCCCTTCGCTTAATTTTTGAATGTTCATTTTTAATTAACATTTAACTGTAAAGTCAGAATAACTACTAAATAAAAGCCTCATTATTATTATGTATTTAGTCAGAGATCGACATAAAATCGCTGACATACGCAAATCGTATTATTTTAAGTTGTAATTAGTAATTAGATATTCGCATTCCAAGTCCGTTTATTTGCTTTTAAAACTTTAATAGGCGGCAAAATGCATGATTTAACTAAGCAATATTTTCTACTGATTTCTATGATTCATGGATCACCGAAAAACAAATAAACTGTCGTTACTATAATTAAAATAAGATCAAATAAAATTATCTTTTATAAATACTATTTATCTAATTAAAATCATTTTCCCTACTTTTCATCTCTTGTTTTGAATGGGCACTTTTGGTCAATTAAGTTAAAAAACATTAATTTAATTCATGTCTGTGGAAACGAAAATACAAATTATACAACTCTAAATTGTGCTTGTGTGTGTCGTGGCAACGCCGCGTTTCTATCGTCCATAAGAAATACATGGCCCTATCTCCGCAATGTTATTTTCTTAAGGTGGAACGTAGTATAGAGAAAATTAGAGGCAACTATACACGCGAACGAGATGTTCTAGATACTGACTGTGACGAAATAAAAGCAGTGTTTGGATTATTGTACTTGGCAGGAGTTTAGAAATCCCGACACACCAACCTAAATGACCTATGGAGCAACAATTCTACAGCACCAGAGTTATTCAAAATGGTAATTCCCCTGAAACGTCTCTATTTATTGCTTAGACCACTACGGTTTGATAATATTCACATAAGAGCTGAACGCAAATTAATTGATAAGCTAGCTCTAATAAGAAATATATTTGAGAAGGTTATAGAAAGATGCCAAACCTGCTACACGCTTGGTGAGAACTGTACTATTGACGAAATTCTGGAGGGTTTCCGTGGAAGGTGCAGCTTCAGGCAATATATCCCAAGTAAACCAAACAAATATGGGATAAAAATATTTGCCTTGGCTGAGAGTCGTGTATTTTATACTGTGAAAATAGAGATTTACGCAGGAAAGCAGCCTGATGGTCCATTTTGTATTGACAATAGTCCAGCCAGTGTATTGGAACGATTGTGTGAACCCATTATGAATTCAGGACGAAATTTAACCTGTGATAACTGCTTCACGTCAGTTCCTTTGGCCGAAGAATTAAAAAGAAAAAGAAAACTTTAGTTGGGACAATTAGACAAGACAAAGGTGAAATTCCTGAAATATTTGTTTCAACCAAAGAAAGGCCAATTCGTAGCAGTTTATTTGATTTTGGTCATGAATGTTTATTAGTTTCGTACCTCCCAAAAAAATAAGAATGTCCTGCTTTTGTCAATCCTCCATGAATATGACGAAATTGACGAGGAAAGTGGTGACGCTTGCAAACCAGCAGTAGTTACTTTTTACAATCAAACAAAATCAGGAGTAGATTCAGTGGACCAACTGAAGAGTCTTTCTGCAGTGGCAAGAATCACATGTAGGTGGCCATTGACTGTTTTTTTACTATGCTAGACATAGCTGGAATAAATGGAAACATTATATTTAGAACAAATGTATTAGATTCCTGCCAACCAAGACGTGAGTATCTGACAATTTTAGCCAGACAACTCATTACCCCACATATGCAAAAAAGAGCGGCCTAAAACTTGCCAGTTCTGCTAACTTTGTAAATTAAAAAATATCTGAATCTTCTTTTGACACCGAAACGAGATGTTCCTGAGGAAAATCAAGCAGGTGCAAGGCCAAAATGCTCCTATTGCCCCAAGAAAAAAATCGGAAAACAGGTAAAGAACATACAATCACCATTTGCACAGAGTGTAAACGCGACTAAGTTCCTGAATCTGAGTAATTTTTTTTTATTATTCTAGTTGCTGTTTCAGAATTATGCTTATTTATGTAGATGTACCAAACTTAATATTTTATGTTTTATTCCTTTTTGTATTATGTTAAAAATATTGCCTTTTTTCAGCTTTGATAAATAAATCATTATATTTATGCCTTTTTTTGACTCATAAAAAGTCAAAATAAGTCATATACATAACAAGTGAGCTTCATGCTCACCTGCGACTAATGATAGTTCATTTAACCATGCGACCAACGCAGGGTTAATTTTAAATTATCCATATACAACCTATTACATATCCCTAGTCAGAATCAACAAAGGATTGGCAAATTGGTCTAAAATTGGAAGACAAGTAATTGGGCGGTCCTTGGTTGGATCTTGGGTGTTATTTTAAAACTCGGTAATAAATAAGTGGTTTCCTGAGGAAGAAATGGTGATATTTACTACGGCTTAGAAAACACATAATTAAATAATTTTCATAAAAGCTAATGAACAATCCAAAACAGAAGTTTTGGAGTCTATCTGGTCCAGGAGATTTCCAATTATCAACCCCTTTGATAATGTTCGAGACTTATTCAGTCGAAAAAACCTCTTAAGGAAGTTCCTAGTGTCTTCAATCTATTGAGTATTATGACTATCTGATATTGAAAAATGATTTCCCCAAAAATTTAGAAACTGAATTTCTTCTTGGCTTAGATACGATTTAGGTTTATTTTCTACAGTGGGAGTGAGTTTTCTATAAAATGCTTTCTGAGCATGCTCAAAAGGTATATTGGCGCAAAATATACACTTCGTTCCCAATAAATTACATTTTTTAGAATTACGTTCTTGTCAGCATTTTTTTCTTTTCTCTACATTGTATTATATTGTGACTATATCAGACAATTTAGATATTATTGTACTCTTGGTATATATATGGTTCTATTTGATAAATTATTTTCTTTATGATTACCTGCTGTATGTTTTGGCCCTTAAAAGACATTACTATAGTGCCAGTCTCTACCAGCTCATTATTTTAGAATACGTCCTTGATCTTCTTGGTGAGATTTATTTTTATATATCCATAACGTCCTCCATAATATTCAAAGTATTAATTGTTTTTCTACCATCTGCTGTGTTTCCTTTGTCATTGTTATTTGATGCCCTTTTACAAAATCAGCTCTATAAAACCCAGTACACTGAATGATTACAATTATTACAGAGAAGAAAATGTAACTGCAGAAATCAAGCTGGAATATCTATGAAATAAAAAACACCCCTAAATTAACTTATTTAGTAGAGTATTATTTTAGTAGTTGGGCAAGCTTGGAAGGTGATAAAGTCTCTCCGGAGGGAAGGAAAGGAAAAATCTAACTTACAGTTAATAGATCTGAAACAGTGGAAACACCAGTATGGGGTCTTACTGACAGAGGATAGATGTAAATTCCAAGAGATCGAAATGGAAGAAATATCCGAACACACACAAATAATTGAGATAATAACCGTAGAGTTAAACGATGCCCTCAAAAGATCGAAAACGGTAAAGCAGCAGGACCTGAAGACATCCCAATTGAATTGGTAAAGTATGGACTAAAAATATTACATGAGATGTTGGTTCAACTATTTAACAAATGCTTAAAAGGACAAAATATCCCTGATGATTGAAATATTGGATACATCAGCTCAATATTCAAGAAAGGGGATAAAAGCAAATGTTCTAATTATAGGGGAATAACTGTTATCAGCTCAGTGGGGAGGTTGTATGGTCGAATATTAAAAAAAAGAATAGAATCAGAATACGAAGACATAGAAGAACAAAATGGATTTCGTGCAGGAAGATCGTGCACTGATGATATATTCGTTCTGCAGCAGGTAATCGAAAAACTGAAGGCAAGGAATCTATCTACTTACCTATTGTTTGTAGATTTATAAAAGGCATACGGTACCTGTGAAAAAAAATGTTTCAAACATTGACGAAAGTAGGTCTCAGTGGAGAGTATGTGGATGCTATCGCAAATATATACAAAAATGCAAGAAGTATCGTTAAAGAAGGAAACTTTATATCTGAATCATTTCCAATAACAAAGGGGCTTAAACAAGGATGTTGTCTATCTGGAACCTTATTTAAAATATATATTCAATCATCGCTAGAGCAGTGGAGGAAACAAGTATCTGTAATGGGAATAGACATAGGCGATGGTAAATGTCTAACAACTTAATTTTTCGCAGATGATCAGGTAGTCGTAGCGAATGATAAGGAAGACATGGACTACATGTTTAGAAAACTAAGGAAAGAATATGAAAAATGGGGCCTTAATATGAATATGTCAAAGACAGAGTATCTTATAATATGAAGAAGATCCAAAGTTAGAAATTAGAAACACAAAAACATGCAAGGAATATAAATATCTCGGACCTATAATATCTAAAGAAGGCACTACCAAAAGAGACATCGAAAACAGAACGCAGCAGGGAAAAAAGCGATTAACATTCTAAACTCTCTACTATGGTCTAAAGATATTAAACAAGAAACGAAATGGACAATCTATCGAACCTTGGTAGAGCCTATTATGACGAAAAAAAAAGAAAAAGAATAGAAGTAATAAAAATGGATTTTCTAAGGAGAGTGTGTGGTGTATCCAAAAAAGATCATATCAGGAATGAATATATTAGAAGGAGGACAAATACTGTATATTCCAGTGTAGACAGAATTGAAACGAGACAACTAGTGTGGTATGGTCACTTGAAGCGAATGAATGAAGATAGATGGCCAAAGAAAGCTTTAAATTACATACCACAACAAATAAGAAGAAGGGGAAGGCCTTCAGTTGCATGGGAAGAAAATGTACGGCACATACCTAATGAGAGATAGAGCCATCAAAGAAGATGAACGGATGGATAGAAAACGATGGCGGTCGATGTTCGAGAGGCGGCAGAGGCTGGAAGAACCTCGCAAGCAATAAAAACGACAATATTTTTCACAGTTCAAAATGACGATAGTATTGAAATGTTTCTTTTATGTATTAATATCAAAAATACTTTTTTTATGTGCTAAAATTATAGTAAATTTAAAAATCTTTAATAAAGTGCATTTTATGGTATTAATAACCATATGAAAATGCCATTAATGTATCATATAAAAATAATTTCTATATAAAAAAATTTATTTTTTTTTTGTCTTAAATGTAGCTATTTACTTTTTTTAAAGGAGTTTATTTTTGTTGCAGGTGAAAATATGGTTCCAAAATCGAAGAACAAAGTGGAAAAAGAATGATAATGTGTCAAACATTGAGGCTGCCGAGCACAAGAACGTCAGTTCAAAACCAGAAGAGCTTCGCTCACGGACGAAGCACAGCATGACCCATAGCCAAAGTTCAAACTCCAGCATCGAGAGCGATACGAAGAGTTCGATAGCGTCCGCCATCGTGGATTATTCTTCAGATAAAAACTTCAAAGATATACTCACGGCCAACCACCCTCCCTCGCCCAGTCCCCAATTACCGAATCAACCAAATCAGATAACCACGAGAGACGTTCCATTCAATTCTACGTTTGTTAGTCAAGAGCAATCCTAAGAGTATTTAAATGTGAACTTATGTGTCTTTTATTCCTTTTCATAGATATTGATTCCATTGTTTTCAGAAAAAGAGTTACGCAAAGGTTTTAGTTTAAACGGGTTATCAGAAAACTGAGAACTTACAGAGCGGATTTATTATTGTAGTAGTTAATCTGGAGTAAAATGTACACAAATACAGGGTTAATAACTTCTAACATTTTAAGGAAACTAGAGATGTATGGGCATTTATTTCTTTATAATTACATTGTTTAACAATAATATGTATAAAAATATTGCAGTCATAAGAGTTTTGAATGAACAGAAGAGATTTTTTCACGTTTTGCCATAAAAAGACTTCCGGTATAGTTCCCCTTGACTCTATGTCTTGTGGAATATTAATAATCGATATCCATGATCAGTAAAGATAGTTTTTTATTGTCTCTCTTTAGTGTCAATTTCGTTACACTAGGACAAGTGAAGGTCATAGGACTGTGTCAATCATTAATTCTTGTAAATTTTGAATTCAATCATTGGCGCGCGTAAGAAGATACGCTTACTTGCTGGTCCTTTTACAATAAAACAATAAAATATTATATTTCTGGTCAAAATAATAAAAATAAGACACAACTAATGAATCAACAGCTGAATTCGCAGATAAATCAACGATTGTGGAGTGGGGATACTAGTTAAAAAAAATGGGTAAAAACAATAAAAACATGGGAACCCATAAATGAACGAATAGTAGTGTTGCCCAAATGCAAGAACAAGACGAGACTTAGACAGTCTTGGTCTTGATCTTGCACCAATATGCCTGGTCTTGGTCTTGGTATTGCGCTCCCAGTCTTGGTCTTGGTCTTGGTCTTGCAGCAATAGTCTTGCAAGTCTCGCAAATACCCATTAGCCTATTGCTATTTATTAAAAGTTACTTTAGATCTTGAACAACGTAACACAGTAGGTACATAAGCTTGAATTAACATACCCATAAAAAGACCAACCAAATTAATGAATGTCTAAACAACTGCCACTGAGTGGGGTTTGGACCAACGATCTAAGCGATCCGTGCCTATGCTCTAACTAGCTGAGCTATCTACCATGTTCCACGGGAGTCAATCTGTTTCTTAATAAGCGTTTGCTTTTAACAAGCTTATGTATGCACAAACATGGTTAAAAAATAAAACAACCAAATTAATGACATAACCTTGACTGTATTTTAAAGAACATTATTTGTCTAGAAAGGGATTGGTGGACCCTCACCTTATATGAAATGGAATAAAATAGTTATATTATTTGCCATTTATTTAAATAAAAAATAAATACAACACAGTGCACAATAGACTTTTACATTACTGATACTTTATATTTATTCCTTTGACCAAGAATTAATACAAAGTAACCATCTGGCTGACTCATCACTTAACCTATTTCTATGTTTTCTAAGTACTAACTATGCTTTAGAAAATAATCTCTCAGTACTGAAGTTGCTGGTATTAAAAGAAAATCACGGGCCATCTTTGGTAAAGTCGGATATTCAGTCTCATGCGTCCTCCACCACTCTAAAATGTCTTCCGAGTTAGCGGCTCTGGGTTTACTTAGGTACTCCTCCAACTCGTCAATAACTAAGCCTTGATGACAAGATCTAGATGAAGTCGAGGAGCACTCATACAGTTTCTCAAAGTCTATTAAGTCTTCATCTTCATCATATTCAGATACTTTCTTTTCATTTCTTGGTGATTCTAGAGATTTATTTACTGGGTAGAGTTTTATATTCTTTGTAAAGTTTATTAAATTTTCGCAGGCCTTTAGTTTTAATTGGCTTCCCCCATAACGTCATGTCAAAAGTCTGAGCCTTATGCCTTGGGCCTAAGATTAAAGAGATACAATAAATCCAGTTGCCCTTCTTATAATGTTTAAACCTTTTGTCTCGAGCTGCTTGAAAACCAAGAATGAGCATTTTATCCACTTCAGATCGATTAGGATTCTCATCTAATTGTTTTACGATGGATTCGATTTTATCGAGGAAAAAATTAAATGATACAATCACTAGTGGTAATATAACATATTTTTCTCCACAGAGTTTTGTTGATAAAAGTTTAAAGTTTATTAGAAACTTATGTACTTTTTCGAGTGTTTGCCATTCACTCTCTGTGATGTTAAAATCGTTCAATTGTCTGTTTCATTGTCAGTTTTACTGTATAATGCTAAGCTATTTAGTAGATCTTGTATGTATCTTTTAATATATCGGTATTTTGTTTACACTGTAATCGGCATTATCTCTTTGTTTGTTTATCTCGTTACTTTTGAATATTAGCCGCATTCTTTCAGCAAATTTTGAATGGTATCATCGCATACTAGGCAAAAAAGATGTTTAGTCTTAGCCGATAAGATTCCTCGTAACTAAATTATAAGGAAAAACATGTGCTAACCTAATTATATTTTTATCAGCTAAGGTGATACATTTTTAAAAAGTTTCGATACGATATTACTGTCGGCGTCGCAAAGCAAAGATATTATTTTATTATTAGAAGGGGCCATTTTCAAAATCTAGACAATTAATTTCAGAGTGAAGAAGTAGTGTGCTGGGAAAGAATGTACAAAATATTTTATTTTTAAATTGTAATTATGACCTCTGAGTACGTGTCAAATTTTTAAGTGTTATTGTAATGAATATTTTGATTCGCTATGTATATTTATGGTATTTTTCGTAATGCAGAAGTTAAATTTTCCAAATTTTTGGTAATACTTCTTTGCGTCTCATAGAGTCTCTATGAGACGCAAAGTCTCATAGAGACTCTAGTCCGAACTATTATACTCAAACCTTCAACTCTCATACTCATACTTCAAACCACACTCAGTCCTAACTGCAAGACGCAAGAGTCTCGCACGCTTAGTCTTGTTCTTGCTCAAGTCTTGCACGGTTAGTCTTGGTCTTGGTCTTGCAAAAATTAGGCAGTCTTGGTCTTGGTCTCGATCTTGCAAAAACGCAAGAACAAGACCACGACTGCAACACCAAGACCGATTTTGGGCAACACTAACGAATAGTAAAACTCATCATGGAAATCTGTGGCAGGCAAATCGTGATACTGGGAATATACGGCCCTACGGATAACAGTCTGGTAGCAGAAGAAAAGGATACCTTACAAGAAGAAATCGGAAAAGTGAGACCAACACAAGAAATAATAATAGCAGGGGACCTAAATGGAAGAACAGGGAAACGACAAAATGATAGCACGATAGGCCGTTTTAAAGAAGATCTGACAAACTATAATGGAGAAAGACTAATTGGCCTGTGCGAACTGAACAATCTGAAAATTACTAACAACTTTTTCAAACATAAGGATATACATAAATACACGTATGTACCAACAACGAGAAACATCAGATCCATTATCGATTACATAATTGTCAGCAAAAGTAGTACTATCAAAATTAGAGATACCCAAGTAAAGAGAGGAGCCGAATGTGGCACTGACCACCGATTAATAATGTCACAAATGGGGTTTCCCTACACGTTGAACACCCAAACTAAAAGGAAGAAAGAACACGAAGAAGACCAAGTAGAAAATGAACAGAAAGAAGAAGAAATGAAGTTAAACATAAATTTACTTTAAGAGGAATCGATAAAGGACCTATACCAGAGAAGACTGGACCAGAAGTTACAGGATTTCGATTCCAAAACGTCAAAGAAACGTACGTCGAACACAGCATAAAAAAGGCGGCATTAGAAGCTTTGGGGAATCTTGAGAAAAGAGATACCCAACACAAAGTAAAAATAAACAAAGAAACTAAAAAATATATTAAGGAGAAGAAAATTCTATATATAAAAAGTATGAGCACCCAATCTCCAGAGGACATAGACAGTACAAAGAGAAAAACAGAAGTAAAACGAAGAAGGGCAAAAGAAAAGAATGAAGAATGGGAAGAAACATGCGCACAAATTGAACAATACATAGAAGGAACAAGGAATTCGGAATCCTGGAGAATACTGAAATCTTTAAGGAAAAATAACAACGAAAAGGTCCAAATACAATACATGTTAGAAAAAGAGTGGGAAGACTACTATAAAGAACTACTCACAGAAAACCGCCCAGATTTCAAAGAGACCGACACAGAACATGAACAACAACAAAGTCAGAATGAAGAACAGATTGAGATAACATTAATCGAAGTAAAGAATACCATAAAGACTTTAAAGAACAAAAAATCAGGGGGACCAGGAGGAATCGTTAATGAACTAATTAAGTACGTAACGGACAAACTACACAGAATTATACACGAAATGTTCAGTAACGCTATTAACCTGAACGAAATACCAGATGAATGGTCCAAAGCATATATAATCTCGATACATAAAAAGGGAGATAAGAAGAAATTCGAGAACTACAGAGGCATCAGTGTAATAGCATGTATGGGCAGGTAGAATAAAATCGGAGATCAGGCGGGGTTCACGGCAGGAAGATCTTGCATAGGCCACATATATACACTCCAACAATTAATTGAAAAAAAAATGGCAAAAAATAGACCAGTACACATGAAAACAACTATGAAATACGATGAATGAAATCGGAATAACTCAGAGGTTATTAGAAGCCCTAAAAAACCTTTACAACAACAACAAGGTAAGAGTTAAAACCGGCAATAAATACTCCAACGAATTTAAGACCACAAAAGGCTGACTGCAGGGATGCTCTACATCTCCAACACTGTTTAAGATATTCCTTGAACAAATATTAAAACCATAGACAAGGCAATGTGAAGGGATAAGAATACCAATCCGGGACAACTTCTTGTACACATTAAGCTTTGCAGGTGACCATGTGGTAACGGTTCAAGATGAAGAAGATCTGTGCTATATGCTCCGAAAATTAGAAAAGGAATAGGTACACAAAAACTGGACTGGAAATAAACCTAGAAAAGACCGAATATTTAACAACAGAGCAAGAACCAGTAAGAAAATTTGGAAATGGACGATGATAGAGAAATTAACGGCACTGAAAAATTCAAATATTTATTATTCATACT